CTGTGTTTTCCATAAAAACATTCCGTGCCAACTTAAGCATTTTAAGGTTTCTCTGGTCTGTGAATTCAGCATCTTTTCTGACAGATCTATTTCTTGTTCCCCACATCCTGCAATGCTGTATTTCATACTGTGGACAGCTTGTAATCAGATAATCCTTTGTAAGGATTGTACACTGCTTAGACTTGTAACATAGGGCTTTTTCACATGAAAAGGGTTTAAGCCTCGTGCTGAGCATTGCATCTGAATGGATCAAAAGCTGTTTCTGCATTTGCTATCTAGAAACCAAGAACACAGTGTGAGCTCTGACACATGACATTGTGTGTCTGTGTGGTTGGAATGATTCTCTTTTTCTCTTAATGACTGTAGGAAGAAGGGCTTTGGTGGAACAGCTGGAATGGCCTATGTTGGAACAGTGTGCTCCAAGAGCCATGCAGGAGGCATTAATGTGGTGAGATATCTTTAGTAATACTGTGAGTATGAACAAAATCTAAAAAAATGCCTTCCTGGAAGTGCAGAATCTTAATATTAAGCACAGCTGAAGTGGCACTCGTGAGGAGGTGACAGGATTTCTCTGCTGATGTTTTAAACAGCCCTGCTTTATGTTAATGTAGTGACAGAGTAACAGAATTGTCCTTTTGGCATTTAAGTAAACAATTACTTAAATTGGCATTGAAAAAAAAAAAAATCTCAATGTAGACTGCCCACTATTTTTCTCTGTTTTCCACTTGTGCAGTTTGGAAAAATCAGTATACAGATGTTTGCTTCAATTATGGCTCATGAGCTGGGACATAACCTGGGGATGAACCATGATGATGAAAGGGTCTGTCACTGTGGAGCAAGCAGTTGCATTATGAGTTCTGGAGCATCGTAAGTAACTGATAAAACAGGAAGCTTTTCCCTTTGCACGTGCTTAGTTTTTGCAAGTCATGGGATAGCAAACTTTATGCTTGTTCTATAACCTGAGGGATTGATTTGATGTAGAAATCTTCTTGTATTCTCTGTTACAGAGGATCAAGGAACTTCAGCAGCTGCAGTGCAGAAGACTTTGAGAAGCTGACCCTCAACAAAGGGGGAACCTGTTTGCTTAATGTTCCCAGGCCTGATGAAACCTATAGCATCCCCTATTGTGGGAACAAGCTGGTTGACATGGGGGAGGAATGTGACTGTGGGTCACCAAAGGTTTGTAGTTTGCCATGTTTTACAAGTGCTGCCTGAGTCACTTTGCATGCTGGCTGGGGAGCAATCTTTGCATGGCTGCAGGTGTGATTTCCTGACGTTCACAGAACTTCTGCTTTCAGGAATGTGAAAGTGATCCTTGCTGTGAACCAGGTACATGTCGGCTCCGATCCACTGCTGAATGTGCTTATGGAGACTGCTGTAAAAACTGTCGGGTAAGACTGAAACTTCTTATTTGGGATTGCACTTCACTGGTTTAGAAAAGGAGAGCATTTGTCAGTGCAGACGTGTGAGCAGCAGCTCTTGCTGCGCTGGGTAGCATCATCCAACACCCACAGAGGGCAGCAGATCAATGCCTTTCTTGTTGAGGACACACTGTGGGTTGGGAGCACTGCTCTCTGCTTTGAGGTTTGTATATTCTGATGCAGTTTCACCCTCAATTGTCTCTTCAGATCCTTCCTGGTGGAACTGAATGTCGGGCAAGTAACAACGAGTGTGACCTTCCAGAGTACTGCAATGGCACATCCCAGTTCTGCCAGCCTGACTTCACTGTTCAGAATGGCCACCCCTGCCACAATGAGGAAGCATATTGCTACAATGGCATCTGCCAGTACTACGATGCACAGTGCCAGGACATATTTGGCTCAAGTGAGGAAAAGCACAGTGTTCCTGTTTTCCTAGCAGATGTAGTTAAAAGAAAACACTAAGGTTATTTAAAATATCCAGTTGTTTTCCTGTAACAACACAAAGAATTTGGAACAATGGCATTTATGGCTTTGCCTTCACATGTCTTTTGTTACAGTTAATGCTGTGCTGGTGATTCAAGTAGTAATTTTCTTGCATTGAGCATTACAGTACAGCTTCTGGCTTATAGGGCCTGCAGAAATAACATCCAGTCTACTGTACCACTTGATAAGTGATTCTTTTTTCACTTGGGACTTTGCAGTGCTGGCATTTTCACTCTTTATCATTTTGATCAAGCTCATAGGCTATCTTTTTTGCTTGGAAATTGTGAGACATAGGCTAATTGGGCTGGAGAATGGAAATGTGACGATGTGAGATGTTTCTGTCTCTGTTTAACCTGGTTCTTCTGGCTGTTGTTTTCAGAAGCCAAAGCTGCTCCCAACATTTGTTTTGCTGAAGTGAATTCCAAGGGTGACAGATTTGGCAACTGTGGTTTCCATGGCCATGACTACAAGAAATGTTCCAGCTGGTGAGTTGAACCAAATGCATTGGAAAGATCATAAATGTATGACTGACCTTTTATTTGGGTGCCATAGTATTAAATTGGGGTTTTATAGCAGAATCACTTGGGAGAGTAACATTATGCTATAATCTAACCTTAGTGGCAGTGCTTACATCATTCAAAAACCACCATGAGATGGCTTAGAAAAGATCTGTTTTACTCTAAATTCTGATGCTGTTAGTACGTAACAGAAAGCCCTCACACTTCTGCATTTGTAGTTTTTGTTGGCTTTTGTTGTAGTTTGTCCTGGTCCAACTTTTGCCCATAATATTTGAAATGAGTTTGAAAGTTCAGGGGGTTTTTCTGTAGCTGAGTTTGAAGCTGTTGCTTCAGGATATCTTTACCTGACACGTTCAGATTTGGGGTTATGGCAGGGAGAGTTTGTACTACATCTCCCATCACTGATCTCCTAAGCATACAGAAAAAAGCATCACTACAGTATTTGTGTGTTGATGTTGTAGGAATGCCATGTGTGGGAAGCTGCAATGTGAAAATGTGGAAACTATGCCTGTTTTTGGAATTAAGCCTGCCATTATCTGGACTCCCAGTAATGGCACCACTTGTTGGGGTGTAGATTTCCAGCTGGGCTCTGATGTTCCTGATCCAGGAATGGTGAATGAAGGCACCAAATGTGGTAATGGAAAGGTAATTAACACGTTAAAAGTGACTTTTGTGGAAGAGTTGTGTTCCTGTGGAGTTGAGGTTTAACATGGAGGAGAATGTGACTTGTTAGAGAGCAGAGCAGCTGCAGAACCATCAATGTGGGAACAGTGAGAGGGGAAAAGAAGTGGGGTATTTTGGTAAAAAGTCATCTTGTTTGGTTAGCATGCATCTCTTAACTCCCTTAGGTCTGTAGGCACTTCCAGTGTGTGAGTGCTTCTATTCTGAACTATGACTGTGATGTGGAAAAGCAGTGTCATGGACGTGGGGTAAGTGATACCTTACAAGTGAAACCTTCACAGTTTTGTTTTGTTCCCGTGTTCTTTTAATTCTTGTGTGTGTTTTTTTACATGTAGGTATGCAACAACAACAGGAACTGTCACTGTGAGCCAGGCTGGGCCCCTCCTTTCTGCAATACCAAAGGCTATGGAGGGAGTATTGACAGTGGACCTCCCTTTAATGGCAAGTAGAGCAGAGGCAGCTCTGGGGCTGTGGGTCTGTGTTGGTAGGGATGGTGCTGGGCTGAGTGCAGGGTGCCTTTTGCTTCGAAACAGTTCAGTTCTGGTGGCTGAAGTGCTGGTGTGGGGCTCTTCACCAAGTTTCACCTGCTAGCAATCCTAGCCAGGGTTTTGAGCTCAAGGTGTTGCACTTCTTTCTTTTGGGATGCTAGAGATCTTTAAAGAAACTGGCCTGTTTTAACTTTCTTCAGGTGATTTCTGCCACCTTGGACCGAGATCAAATTGGGCTTCTCTGTATCAAAGCTGGATATTGAAGTGCTTTCTAATCTTAGATCCAAGCAAAACATGAAATTTGGCATAGGGTTCAAATTCATGGATGTCAACAGGCATCTCTGTAAGGATGGACTCGTAGCAGTGGTGGCAGAGATGGGTGATACCCTGTTCTGATATCTGCATGTGCACCTGCAGGACTGTCAGCTGGCCAGCATGGGCGTGTTGACAAGTCACTATTTGATTAATGTTTATTATTTGAGTGCAGACAGCATGCTTCGTTTGGTAGTAAATACAAATGTAGTCCCTGCCCCAAACATCTTACGGTATAGAAGACAGATACACCATAAAGAAACGGGGAGAGACAGAGGTTTGTGACACTGCATTGTTTGCAGACTTTTTTGGTTTGCTTTTTTTTGGTGGAGGGAAGAGATGGGTGGGGAGGAAATCTTGTCTTTGTTTCATGCAACTTTTTCACCTCTCAAGGAATAGGTGCTAGGTCAGTGTTTGACACAGCAAGAAGATGCTGTATCTGTGCACATAGAAGATACCTGTATGGGTTTACATGGGGAGAGTGGTGCCTGGAGCAGCACAATTCATGCAGAATAGAGAAAAAAGTGAAAGGCTGTGACACTTACTTTTCTCACTGATAGTTTGAAGATGAAAGAGGAGGCTTTAAGTTGGAGAAGACTTCTGCAGTGAGTTTGTGGAGCATATAAAGAAGAGAATGATGTAGCCTCCTAGAGGAATAGGGTGGCAGAATGAACCTGGAGACCCTTGTTCATGAGATGGTGTGGATTTTGAGGGAAGCTAGATAGTGTATTGATGCAGTAACAGATGGGAGAGTCCCACCATAGTGGGAGGATCAGACCTAGAAAAAAGGTTTGTGCCTACATCTTGCAGTCTTAATAGATTCTTTAGATATTTCTACCACGGAGAATGGAAGCTTGTTGTAGAAAAAATCCTAATAAATGCTACAACAAAATATGTGACATTACCACAACTCAATACTTTCTTCCTCTCTGTCCTTTTGTCCCCCAACAGACAAAGACAACTCATTGAGAAATGGGCTGCTGGTATTTTTTTTCCTGGTCCTGCCTCTCCTTATAGCTGCTGCTTTGGCATTTGCAAGGAGGGACCGACTGAAACGATGGTTTAGAAGGTTAATGTCACGTTGTCATTCGTAAGTATAGTCCCCTCTTCACCTTCTCTTCTGCCCTTTTGAGGTAGTCCTTAGACATTTCTTTACATAAGCCATTGCTGAAGTATGGAGATATATTCCAGTCCCAAGCTGTCAAGCAAAGACAGCTGCACCAAATGATGCATGTAAATTGCTCTAGGCAATGGCAGAAAAAAATAGATCAATTTTACATAGTGGGAACAGAAAACTTTATTTTTACCTTTATGTTTGTTGTTATGTCTTTGGTGATGGGTTTTATGTTTTTTGGGTCCTATCTTCGGTGCAGAGGCAAAATAAAGCTGTCATAATCCTAAACAGAAAAAGGATTATGTTGTTTCTTAGATATGTGGCAAATACCATCCTCCTGACATTTGGTATTTGCTAGGATGCTCTAAATCCATCTAGCAAGTAAGAAGCACTTGGATTCATAGCCTACTCAGTCATCCTGTCAAGGTTATGTGCTCACCCAGGTAACATCTCTTGGGTTTCAGGTCACTTCAGTCACCACCTCCTAGAACAGAAGCAGAACCAAGAGATTTCCCTCACAGAGGCGTTCCACATGGCATGCCTTACCCTTCAAGAGGTGTACCCATGGTAGGAATTACTTGCTGTCTGTTTTTATTTGTCTCTGAAGTGACTGATGAGTACAGTTTATGTTATTGTACTAGTAGAGGCTTCAAAGCTATTGTATTTTTTCATTTCTGTGAATTGGGCTTGCTCTCTGTTAAGAGTGAAACAGGAGCAGTATTTCTTAAATGGGTTCAAAAGCTCCTCAGTATTCTTTCTACTGATGTGCTTAGAAGGAAATAATAACTGTCATTTCCAGGCCTGTTTGCAAGAGGTGATCTCAGATACCACCTATATAACGAAACAAATTTAATTCTCTTAAGTGCAAATCTGAACGTTTTCATTCTGTTTTATCCATAGGACATGGAGCCAAATACTTTCCCTGTGCCATCCTACCCCATTAACCAGCATCCTCAGCAGGCTTACCACCAGTCCTACTACCCATCTCCACAATACCAGGCCCTGCAGCCACAGAAGCTGCCTGCAAGGTTGGTTTGAGTTAACTGCAAGTAATGTAACCAACTGTCCTGATGTATATGGCTTCTTGTTGCCTTCATCTTTGTAAGTATTAGGATATTTCATCAAATACTGTGAGCAGAACTGACCTTTTAGTGAAAGGGGTTTCTCCTTTGATTCATGCTTTGGAATAAAAGCACATTTGCACATTTTATGCTTATAGGGTGCTCTGAGGGCAGCAGAATTTGACCATGGGATGTTGGAAGTGAGCCTGCACTGAGGCAGCTGAGTGTGCTGGAAGGGGAGGGTCTGTAACAAGTGGGCTTGGTGCAAAGCAAGAGGAAGATAGGGCTGCTTTGCTGTGTGCATTCTGGGCAGTGTCAGTGCATTTTAGATAATGTCATGTGGACTCACAGCAACTTGTCTGTTTTTACCATAGGCCACCTCCTCCCCAGCAGAAATGTGTACCTCAGAGACCTCCTCCATCACAGCAGAAATGTTTACCTCAGGGACATTACTTTCCTTCTCGGCCGGCACCTCTGCCCCCCAAATAGCTTTTGACTTCTTTGGGACCTTCACATGAGCTGACCTGTTCACTGAAGCGAAGCTGAAATTGCATTTATCCTTCTTGCATCGAGTGGCCCATGGTAATCCCAGGAAGCCTTCCTTCTGCAGCCATGGATAAGGCAAAAGAGATATTGAAACGAGGAATGTAAACCTTCAAACAAATACCTCTACCAAAGCTACAGGAACAGAAAACATCAAACCTGTTTCTTAGATCTGAGTGTTGTGGCTCTGTATGCTGCAGCAGGGCTGTCCAGCTATAAGTGCAGCAGTTAAATAACCCTTTAAGTACAGCGCTCAGGAGTTGCTTTAGGTTTCCCCATTTCTGCAACGAGCCCTAAAAATGAAGATATTTGTTGTCATCTTTCTAAACGTCCAGTGAAGAGTTAAAGTAGTCCATACCATGTTCAAATCAAGGAAATCTGGTTAATTAATTTAAACTTAGCTTGCATGGACTGGAAAACGTTACCCATTTACACGTAAATGGCACAAGTGGAATAAGGTATCAGTGTACTTTATCAGAGAAAGATAAATATATTCTAAACATGTTTATGCATGTATATATGTTTATTGATGTGTAATAATAATGCACTTAAATTCTTAATTTCATGCTGACTGACACTAAACTACGTGAACATTAAGTTTAATTTAATGATTTTAAATTAGTTGTTGTGAGTTGCTAAGTGAGAATCCTGTACTAACTTCCACTAATACCATAAATGGGGAAGGAAAACAAAGGTACGAGAAGACGTGGCCATTTTTTTGGGGGTTAAGACAAATTGAGTTTTCAGCTCTAGGTTTTAAGTTGGACCTCAAGACTCTGAAGAAATCCCTGCAGAACACTGAGAAGCAAATAATGTGAATCTGCTGAGACCACCTGAGCTTCTCTGAGCACTTTAAGCAGGAGCCTGTTGACTAATGCAGCGTTGTCACCTAATCTTCAACCCTTGTTAGTGTCAGTCAGGATGCTTACCTAGGCTTACCTGCAGCAGGTCAGGCTGCCATCTGTTTCTGTGCCACTGCTAAACCAGGTTTCATACAGTTCCCAAAAGGAGTGCTCAGCACTTGGTGTCACGGCTGTGCTGTGGGTAGAAACTGATGCTGGAGACAAATAGCAGAATTAAAATGGGGAAAACCAACCCTGCAAGGTGTGCTTGGCTTTTTCACTTTGTGCTGGCCACTGAGTACAAACTTGCTCTGCAAAGATCCCCCATAGTATTGCCAAAAAAATTCTAATCTTCTGTATATACATATATAAATATATATAGAGAGAGAATATTTGCATTTGCAGTAATAAAATACTTGAACTCCTGTGGTTTCCCATAAACATAGACTAAGATTTATAACACTTTTAAAATACATCAGATGTCACCTAGGCTAGCAGCAGACTTGTCCATAGGGGTCTTCTGTTTGTCCCTGTTCCCATTGTGTCCCACTTGGGTCAGGCTCTGCCATTTCCTGGCTCTGCTTTGTGTTTGGCAGCGTGGCTTCCAAAGTGGGGAACTCACATCACAAAGTAATCCAGGATGTCCTTAATTGTACTTCAAGCTGTACGTGTGAACTAAAACTATGCTGAAAACGGTGCCTTCTACTAAGTTTTTATACTTCATTGTGCATGTTAGCAATATTTACAGGGTGGTGGTGTAGGGCAACGAACGTGCAGTTTTTAGACGTGGTTCTATGGAAATGGCTCGGATTTTAAATGTGTTCAATATTGCAGATGACTACTGATTTCCTTTTATAAAGCATACATTATCCCTGCCCTCATTTGGTTGGGGGAGGGTTCCCAATTACAGTGCTGCCCCGGGAGCAGCAGCATCCCTCCCCCCCCCATTCCCATGAGCTTCTGGGATGCAGTGTGTGTGTTTGTAGCACTCAGGTGCGACGGACTCGCTGTACCCAACCTTTGTAAGAGCAAGCAAGCAATAAACACGCTGGTTTTGTACAAAAACACCCTTTTTTGTCCTCTGCTGCTTTCCTGGGGCTGCATGTGGCCGTTCCGTTGGGGCCGTTGCTGGTGGGGCTGTTCTGTTGTGGCTGTTCTGTTGGGGCCGTTACCAGCACAGCACTGCTGGTTGTTGTTGAGCAGCATGGGGCCGTGCTTGATGTTGGGGGCTGCACTGCTGGCTGTGTTCTGTGAGTGCTCCCTGCGGAGCTGTGGGGCTGTGTAGGGGCTGCTGGCTGTGATGCTGCTCTGCTGCTCTCTCCCCAGGTCCACGAGCGTTGTCACAGATCACAACCCCACTTCAGCTGCCCCACAATGAGACAGGACTGTCGGTACAGTGCTCCCTTCCTACTCATGCAGGGGTGGCTGGGTGCAGTGGCTGGGTGATGGGGTGATGTGCTGGTGGTTGAGTGGCTCTGCCTGCCCCTCAGGGAGTGTTGAAGCTGGTTGAGCTTCCATTATCTGCTCTCTCTGCTTGCTGTTCTGCTTATAATTCTCCCCTTCTCTGCTTTTCTCCAAGGACACGCTGTCCTACATCCTCACGGTGGAGGGGAAGCCGTACATCATCCACCTCAAGAAGCAGTGAGTTGGACCTGCCCTGCTGTTCTGACACAGGGCAATTCCCACCTGTGGGCACTGAAGCTGCCATTGCCCCACTGGGGTGGAAGGGGTGGGGGGTGCTTGTGGCTGTGGCCCCAAAGGCAGCAGTTTGGGGTCTGCAGGCAGCAGTTTGGGATAATGCTTCAGTGTTTGACTCTTCTTCTGCAGTCTCTTTATACCTGAGGATTTTAGGATTTATATGTCAGATGAGACAGGATCCTCGATGTCTGATTCAACCCATATCAAGGTAAGCTTGAGTTGTTATTATTTGGTGACCAGCACTTGAGGCTCCCCAGCTCAGAAAGGGTTCCCTCTGCTTTGCCATAGGGTGACTGCTATTACCGTGGCTCCATCGAGGGCATCCCTGGTTCAGCAGTGACCCTCAGCACCTGTGCAGGGCTCAGGTATGGGCACAGAGCTCTCAGGTAAGGGATATAGCAGGCCTGGCACTGCTGGTGGCACCGTGTCCTCTGCAGGGGCCTGCTGCAATTCCACAATGCCAGCTATGGGATCGAACCTCTGGGCTCCTCTCCCACCTTTGAGCATTTCGTTTATCGGCTGAGAAATGAGAACACAGCGGGTTTCCTGTTTGCTCAGAGTCACCCCAGGGCTGCAGGAAGAGGGATGCAGGAGGTGAGCGTGGGGCTGTGCCCTGTGGGGCTCTGTGCATTTGTAGCCTGGATGGGCAGTGATGGCAATGGCTTGCAATGAGCTGTCATCATGCTCCTGCCTCATCTAACAAGTGAGGAGCTGCTGAGCTGGAGTGGCTCTGGACATTATTGAGATTTACGTAGCACAGCAGAGCTCAGGGGCACAGTTCCTAGGATGTAGGAATACAGAGCATCCAGCTGTTCTCTTTTCAGCCACCATCGGATGCAGCACAGTTGCCCAAGTACATTGAGGTGTACGTAGTTCTGGACAAGGCTCTGGTAAGTCAGCAGCATCCGTTTCTCCTTGTGTTTGCTTGATTGTGCCATTTCCAGCTTCCATTCATTCGCAGCTTCCCTTTGGGGTGATATTTGTGCTGAAGGTTTTGCAGGAGGGGAAGGATGGACATTGGTAGCTCACACTTACGTGATGGGCATAGGGAACTTGTGCTGTCACAAGCCATGCCTCAGCCACTTTCACGTCTCACGCTGTTTTTCAGTACAACTATTTGGGCTCAGACCAGAACGCTGTGACACAGAAGATGATCCAGGTTTTCAATTTTGTGAACAGTGTAAGTTTGGCAGAGGTGCAGCCCCTCAGGCTGACGCAGGGGTTTAATTGCTCTGAGACCAAGGTGTGAGCAGCCACAGCTGCTGCTACATTTCAGATCTTTAATCCCCTGAATGTGACCGTGCTGCTGTCCTCCCTGGAGCTCTGGATGCAACAGAACAAAATCCCAACGGATGGAGCAGCAGATGAGCTTCTGCAGCAGTTCCTGCAGTGGAAGCAGTCACACCTGGCTCTGCGACCACACGACCTGGCCTGTCTGTTTGTGTAAGACCAGAACACCACAATAATTGGAGATGAGCAGCTGCAGGGCATCACGGGAAGGGCTGTGCACAGAGCTGCTGTGTTCCAGGTACCGGGACCAGGCTGACTTTTCAATGGCAACATCTGCAGACATGCTGTGCCACAGTGATGCATCCGGTGCTGTGGCCGTGGTATGGAGCTGTGATATGGGGGCATGGTGTGGGGCTGTGCTGAACAGGGGGATGCGGCCAGGCCATGCCACAGCCAACAGCACTGCTCTCCTGCAGCTGCAGCGTGCTGTGACTCTGGAATCGTTCTCCATCCTCCTGGCACAGCTGCTGGGGCGCAGCCTGGGCATGGGATTTGATGATGGCCGGGGCTGCCGCTGCCCCACACAAACCTGTGTCATGGAGTCGGCAGCA